TGGTTAATTCAACATAAATAATTTCACCACGTGACTAAATGGATTGTGTCAATCCAACATTAATGAATTGTTTTAATCAAGAATACAACATCCTTACACAATAACGTGAGTTATATGAATTAGGTTTACGAGAAGTATATTCATTAAGTTACTGATGGAGTCATTAACATAGTGGGAGTGAAATAATTTTACAAGTAAAATCTTGTTCACGACATACATGAATATTGTAACCGTAAACGTTTTTTTGGTAGGACTTCACACTTGTAAGTTGTGTTTTTGAGATTGAGGCTGTCGGGTTACGACCATTCACGATGTATAACTTCACATGTTCAGGAAACGCATTTGGGTAGTCGACGACTTTAAACTTCACTGCCTCTTGGCTCACTGGTCTTAATGTGCACCCGACTTTCGATTTTACTGAAATAAATACTTATAAATTTTTGAAATGATATGTTCATACACAAAAATACAGAATTGTGATCTACTTGCGTAGTCTTATATAACTAGTCGTTATTACAAAGCATTAGAAGCGAAACAATATTACTTGTATACGAACTTGAAAGTTCGTCTTCCACACACACACACCCACCACCACACACAACACACACACACACACACAACACACACACAACACACACACACACACACACACCACACACACACACACACAAAACCCCACAACACACAACTCAACCTTATTGACTGCAGGGAGGGGGAGGGATATACTATGTAAATATATTTGACGTTTGTTACTATTGCTTCTGAGGACTCCGTGAAGCATATTTTGATCAGTATAACGTGTTTGTGAATTCTTTTTGTGTAGTGTTTATATAGTAAGGTTCGTGTAATTTACAGCATGTCATTAACATAACTGTATGATGTAGAATTTAATTAAGATGCTTAGGTAAGATTTACTTAAATGCAAGAAGTAAATATTAGTTTACTAGTCTGAATCCTATTTAATTAGCCTTGTTACGTGCAACCGGTTGACATAACTGGATTAAGTAAATCTAACATTTCATTTCTTTGAGTGTAGCAACCTTGTGGGCAGTATGGAGTTTAACCGCTGCTATAGCCTCATCCCTAGCAACCTTGTGGGCAGAAGCTGCAAGGGCAACAGGCCTGGGAACCTGGCCATTTTGGAGTCCCTTGGTTTTTGCAAGGACTGGGCATTCCTTTTCCCAGTGACCTTTACCCAAACAAAAGTGGCAAGTACTTAGATCAGTTTTATCCCTCCAGCCATGCTCCGACCTTAACACTTCACCTCTGGGGTCACTAGACCAGTTATTTCTGCCCCCCCCCATCAAATCTCTCCCCTTAATGAAACTTGTGTGTTAACGTGTATTCATCAGCTAACACCCCAGCATCTGTTACATTTTTAACCTCATGCTCATTCAGGTACGTAGCAACGCGTTCTGGAAGNGAAAGATTAAAGATGTACTAACCGGTGACACTCCTTTCCAAAGTCCCAGCAGCCTCTCTGTTCGCACCACGCTCAGAAACACCGTCATCATCCCCACCCGGCCAGATCTGAGAGAGGAGAGGCAGACGGGATAAATAATGGGACATAATGAATACCCTCCACATGCTGCATTTTTGATAATAGTCACTATATTTCTCAATTCTGAAAGGAGGTAGAGATCGAAATACCGTTTCCCACAATTCCTATATATGTATATTTGTTTTTATATTCAAGATTGTGGGAAACGGTATTTCGATCGCTCTGCCTGTACACAAACTGAAAGATTGACAATAAAGTTGACTTTGAGTTTTTTTTTTTCGCCGCTCACATGTACACAACACCGCACACAGGCCCAAAATATTAGGCCTGACCCTACATGATTCTGTAAAAGCCCAAACCACGAATACATGTGACTGCGGTTGGAAATCATTAATTAATTAGGAGTCGGGACTGTGAGCCATTACCCACTATTTCCAACATTTTGTCTGTTTAAATCTTCTTATACATCTCAACACATTTCCCATAATGGAGGATTTTGAAAACCCTCTTTGGAAAAAGTCCCTATATTTTAGGTTTTTTCTTTCAATCTAGCAGTGTGGGGGTCTGGTGCCTTGCTTTAGGGCACATTGTTAGTGCCCAGGAGGCAAACTAGCAACTTTAAAAAAAATCCTTTTGGTCCGATTGGGGACTTGAACCAGCGACCCTCTGGTTCCCAGGCCCACTGCTGCGTGAGTGTGTCTCTGTGTGTATGAGTGCCTGTGTGCATGTGTGTGTGTGTGTGTGTGAGTGTGCGTGTATGAATATGTGTGTGAGTGAGTGTGTGTGAGTGTGAGAGTGAGTATGTATGTATGTATGTATGTATGTATGTATGTATGTATGTATGTATGTATGTATGTGTGTGTGTGTGTGTGTGTCTGTGTGTGTGAGTATGAATGTGTCTGTGAGTATGAATATGTGTCTGTCTGTGTGTCTCACCCTGGTAGCCCCCCCCTTTGCAGAGTCTGCAGTCTGGTCTTCACCAGGTCCAGCGGCTGGAAGAGGATCGTGGAGCAGGTCCCGCTGACGGAGCCACACATGAAGGCTTTGAGGGCCGGGTGAACCTGAGGGGGGAGGAGACAAGGGGGGGGGACAAGGGGGGAGGAGACAAGGGGGGAGGAGACAACAGAGACCGTTGAGCAACATGTTAGGATAGATCTGCTGCAGGTGACTTGATTTGTAGTTCACGTGCATCTGAACACATGATGAGCTAATGAAGTCAACTTTATTGACAATTCCTCAATTTGTGTTACACAGAGATTCTGTTTCTCACCACCCCAGAGGATCAACATATATGAAAAATAAATATATACATATGTTTATATATACACATACACACAGAGGTGGGAGAAGTACTCAGATCTTGTACTTGAGTAAAAGTAGAAGTACCAGAGTGTAGGAATACTCGTTACACTAAAAGTCCTGCATTCAAAATGTAAAACTAGAAAAGTATTAGCATCAAAATATAGGAGGAGACAAGTGGGGAGGAAGTGAAAGAAAGAGGAGAGAGGAAAGGATATAAGATAAGACTTTATTTATCCCGAAGGAAATTGTTGTGCCAGAGTTACAAAGATACAATGAACACAGCAGCACAATAATAATACAACTGTCCACTAACAGGGCAGTAAAAAGAGCAATTCAATAACTACAGGAAATATCATTAATGTAAATATTAACAGTATTTAGTAGAGCAAAAACCGTAGTGGCAGATATGTAATTGCACGTTATCATAGCACATTATTAATAGAATAATAAAAGATAAGATAAGATGGAGCTTTATTAACACTGTGGGGGAAGTCAGTAGTTCAAACAGCAACACGGTGAGAATGAAAATCAGCACAGATTCACACAGATTAGAGATTAATACAATTAAAAGATACAAATACAATTATATACAGTTATGTAACTTTAAATGAGAAATGAATTCAAATGAACATATATACATATTTGGAGACATTGAAGCCTATTGACATTTCATTACACAAAGTTTTTCGAGTATTGTTTATGATTCTTTTGAAAGCGTCTACACACGGAAATTAAATCATGTCTACTTCTGTAACCACACACACTCTTTCTCCCTAAACTAAATTACCCAGCAGCCTTTCACACTTTATTGTATTGCCGCTCTTTAAAACCACCTCGAGACTTTCTGTTTGCTCTGAAAAAGGGTAAAAAAAAAAGTCATCAGATTGACGGTAACCCTTCAGAGAGGATGAGGTACAGATGGGTAACCAAAAAGATCCTTCTGCTTTTATTTCTAAAGATTGCGGCTGGTTGGTAAAGCATTGAATGGTCTCGTGCTGAACTACGAGCCCCCCAGGACTCTTAGGTCTTAGAGTCAGAACTGAACATGGAGACTTTCAGTTCTGATGCTCCAATTATCTGGAACAAACTCCAAGAAACCTGCAGGTCCTTTTAAATCCAGGCTGAAGACTTTTCCTTTTGCTGCTGCTTTTAAATGAACATATTTCACACAGCACTGTAACGTTCACTCATGTGTTTCATACCTGTGTTATTATATATGAGCTTGTTTCATGGATATGTTATTATTATGTTTTAATGCTTTTCATTTTTGTAAAGCACTTTGAATTGCCTCGTGTTGAAAGGTGCTATATATAAATAAACATGCCTTTAAACTACAAAAGTATAAACAAATACCTCCTTCATTACAACTAATATCAGTTAAACAAAAGGTGTAAATAACTCACCAGAGAAAGTTCCATAGCTCTTCAGGACGATAATTAAAAAACTAAATCTTCTGGCTTTTCTTCTTGTGTCAATCTGTCGCTCAAACGTTCCCACACCTTAAACACATGTAAAATAAAAAGAGGTGTTTCAGTGAGAAGGTCACACAGTGAGCAGCTGATCTGTGACAGGGTCTCTGTTACAGTGGATGAAGGAGCATGAGCTTCTTATCAGACACACACACACACACACACACACACACACACACACACACACACACACACACACACACACACACACACACACACACACACACACACACACACACACACACACACACACACGTTAGGGTAGATCTGCTGCAGGTGACTCTGATTTGTATTTCACGTGCATCTGAACACATGATGAACTAATGAATGAATGCTAATCTACTCAGTAGCTAAACAGCGTATTTGCAAAATTGTCTCCACATTGACAAATTACAACATACGGTTTGTTTGAGATAAGATCAGAATACAAAAATATTCTATGATTATACGAGACTTTTGAAAAAAGTAATTCTACACAATGAGTACTTTTCCTGAGTACGTTTTGCTGATTATACTTCTTTGTTTTACAGATGTGTAAACATTTGTAAAATCAAACGACTTGCAAATAAACAAACAATTTCCAAACCAAAAACTAGAGATGAAAATTGATATAGGCCTATAAGTAAATGAAAGTATTTATGAAGATAGAATAGAATTACCATTCACAAATTGAAACTTGATTTTCCCAAATGCTTGTATGAAAGCTGCTATTGTTAGAAAGTTATTAACAGTCATGTTCATTTATTTACAATTTTTTTTTTTTATGTAAATTGTTTTAATTGTTATATTAAAAATGTAAACACGGATGTGGTCGATGTGTTGAAATAAACAATATTTTGAAAAACGAATCTCTATTCTACTTTTATTTAAGTAACATTTTGAACTTTGGACTTTTTTTAACTTTTAACTTCGATTTTCACTCGAGTAAAGGACATGTTTTCCATCTCAGTTGGTCTGCATCTTACCTGTTCAAATACTCTGCAGATTCAGGAGTCTGTTGCAGAGACTGGTGTCACAAGTATGACGCAATTTGGTTAATTAAAAGCATAATCCTTCAAAATGTACTAAAAAAGTACAAAATAACACGCTGAATAAAACCCAAAAAGCTTGCTTTGAATGCCTCTTGTGTGATAAAAAGGTCTCAAAGAGTAAAACTAGAGCACAGACAAAATTGCGCTCCACTTTGTCACATGAAAATGAAAAGTGAACTGTATTTGGAAACTTAAAAACCAGCCGGTTCCGGATTGTTGACGCTCTGTGACGTAGGCACCGCCCACACAGGAGCTGCTGGTTTCTGATTGGCTGAAATACTTGACGTAATGTCAGTATTAAATGCGCAGCACTTTATAAAGTAGCTTAAATATTAGATATAAAGTGCGGGTCTGTGTACCTTCATTTAAACTGTCTTTCTTTCTTAAACCAGTCAAACGGGAAAGCGACTGCCTTGACTTTTTAGGTTGAGTTTTCTACGTGAAATACTAAAATAGCGAGAGGATGTTTGGCGCGAGGGATGGGACGGTATTCCCTGAAGTAGTTTAAAAAATAAAAGCGCTCTTCTTGTAAACACATGGATGTATACAGAGAACAAACCACACTTGATGTTGGAATAACAAGAGAGAGGTCTTAGAGACAGGCTGTCCTCTCAGAGTCTATACTGATAAGACTAGCGTTACAGAGGACTCTCATAGTTAGGTTTATTCAGAAAGATATTGACGGATCATTTTTTTGTTAACCAGGCCCATTATTGCAGAGTTAAAACGGGGAGAATTCCAGCAAAGTAGAAATGAAAGTCATCAGAAATACTTCAAAACTCTTCTCTTTTAAGTAGGCTACAGTGCTTCAGTATATGTAGGTACCTTCCACCACTGACTACATTAGAATACCTAATTATGTCTTCTTTGACTCAAATGTAATAGTTAGAGGAACAGAAAAACTACATTTTGTAAGTCATTGTGTTTCATAAAAGAAAGGTGTTTAACAGAAGGCTGTCCTTAAAAGATAAAAGTGCAAGTTTAATATGATAAATATAACAGTTCTCACCTACATGTCTTCATCCTTGTTTTCTATGTTTTACTCAATTTGAGGAGAAACCAGTTCTGACTTGATTGTGTTTTTTATTAAACTCTGACTGCCCTCTGCTGGAGAAAATATATCATGTCATAAACAACCACTTCAGCCTCAAAGGAGACACGCTTTTGACTTAAAACATCATTTTATTTAACGATGAATTGCTGGGAATTCAAGTGTTTACATAAAAACCAGTGGTGGAAACAAGTGCTGGGGGGTAAACAGTTTCATACCGAATACTGTGAACTTTGTACCGTATGGACATTTCCATATATACCAAAATATACACCTTTAAAGATGGAGACTGAAGAAAATGAGATGTATTTGTTTAAATACTTGAATATTGTCTGTGTAATGTACCTTGGCTTGTAGCAAGGTGTATTAAGTTGCACTAGTTTGAAGGTTAATCATAAAAGTATTTAAATCTGCACTCTCTGTTTCAGGGACGGGGGGTTGTTTACATTTTCAAACGGTGCTGTTGTTATGTGGTATGCAAAGTTTACACAATAATATGGTTTACGCTTTCTGATCCCTTCACCACATTAGACTCATGAGAGTCACGAGGGCCACCAAAACTATCCAGGTGTATTTACTACGGTAAAGAGTATAAGTACGATACAATTTTGAGGTACTTGTACTTTGAGTGTTTCCATGTTATGCTACTTCCTACTTCGACTCCACTACATTTGACAGCTTTTTAAAGATTCAGATTATTAACCCTTAGATGCCCGAGTGACTGGACCCTACACTCTTCCATAAGTGGGTCAAAAAGGACCCGTATCAGAATGTGTTTTTAGGCCATTTTTGGTTTAGAAAAATCACTTGTATAATATTTAGCATTATATTTTGGTTCACACTAGAAATATTTTATATTTACATTTTGAAAAAAAAGCGTTTTGAACATATTGTCCCAAAGATCTGCGCTATTCTGAGACCCTCACAGTATTCCAGTCCCTTTTCAAAACTCATCTCATAGCCCCCCCCATCAATCCATGCCGGTTGATCAAGTTTGATACCCCCCCACACCTTATATTGTAAAGCGATTTTGAGTCCTTGAAAAGCCCTATACAAATATAATGTATTATTATTATTATTATACTGACAGGTATCAGATCTTGCAGTGTAAAATAATCTTCCTGAGAGGTGTCACTTGTAATGTAGTCTGTGTGTCCTACAGTGAATGTATTCCTGACAGCAACAGGTGATAAGAATCAAAGGTTCCCAGAGGATCCCATAGGAAATGCATGCGGGTCACTTTTGACCCACTTATGGAAGCTTGGGGTAGTAATACAAAAACTACAATTTCTTAAAATGTAAATGGCATGATATCCAAAATATGTTTTTTGAGGAATAGATGGAATAAGAAATGATAACATTTTTAATTACAAAGATACTTCAAGAAAACCACCTCACCGGGTCCAAAAAGACCCACTTATGCATCTAAGGGTTAACTAATACAAAATATAAATAACAGGTAGAATACATATAATTATAGGTCAAGATATCCAGCAGCAGCATGTCAAATAATTAAAATTAGCTCCACCTTTACCAGCTGTGATGAACACATTCATAATTATAATCCAGTCATTTCATATGGCTATGAAATGAGCCATTCCTCTTACTAATAATAATAATAATGTTATTTGGTACTTTGAATATACTTTTATGCTAATAATGTTGGACTTTTCCAACATCAGTATGAAATAATAACAAAGACACAGCAGGTAGCAGTTTAGAAAGCCTCTTTAATTGCAATAATACCAACATTTCACAACAATGATTCCAGAGGTGCAGAAAGACAGCCATTACAAAACAATTGAGTTTTTTTGGATTTCCTTTGCTGGTTTTTTTTTAATTATAATTCCGATCATTATTTGTATTCTTCTTAATCCGTGATTCCCCACAACAACAACACATTCCTCTCACTTCCCAGCAGTGTGAGCCGAAAGCACAGCCTGCGGAGGGGGGGGGTAAACGTCCCCTAACTTCCCAAATCTACCCGGTCTTTAAGTCTTGGGGGACTCGGTCTCGCTCTCCTCGTCGCTCTCGATGCCGGTGCGAGCCTGCCTCTCCAGATCCAGATCCCCCTGCAGCTCCGACAGCTCCATCTATCGGATCTTCTTCAGGGCCAGGTACACCACCTCCTCGATCCTGAGGGAGGAAGAGGAGGGAGGAGAACAATGAGTGGAAGGAGCAGAGGGGGTTTCAATTCCTTACAATACCTTGATATACTGATAATTAACAAAAAAATTTAAAAAATGAGGAGCACAGAAACAGTGTTCAAATCCTGCTTTTACAGACTTATGGCTGTGCGTACCTTGCAAAGTAATGTTATGAGTGTCAAAGGGATGTTTTAATGTAAATACATCAGATTTTAGGGTAAGAAATCAAATCTATGGCTTGATTTCTCTCTGAAAAGGCAAACAAATTGTAAAAATATTAACCACACCGCTGCTAACTGATAATGAAAGCATCCGTGTAAATATTATTAGGTATTATTAGCTTATAGACAGGGGTGCACATCACTTTTATTGCCCTGGTTCTCAAAGGAGCACCTGGAGATGTTGCTTGGTGCTCATCCTTAAAATGAAATAAACCGTAACTTTTGAGGGGGTCTTGACTTTATTTGCCAGACACACGGCACTGAACACACATGCAGAGGAGAACACAGAACACACATGCAGAGGAGAACACAGAACACACATGCAGAGGAGAACACAGAACACACATGCAGAGGAGAACACAGAACACACATGCAGAGGTGAACACAAGACAACATTAGCACGACCAGTAATCCTACAAGCTGTCATCACTACCCTCCTGACTGTTCTCCTCACTGTCAGACAATGGTAGCCCTGAGCATGTAGGCCTACTTCTTTCTCTCTGGTTGAGTCTGCGATTAGCTGCTTGCATCCATAAGTCAACAGCTGGTTTTGGGTCGAAAGTCTCTGTTGTCATCTTAGTGGATGTAATCAAATAAGTATGTGAACATAACCAATAACCTACCATAGCCAATAACAAATTAATGTAACTTATTTTATTTGTGTTGTTCATTCATATCTTATTTTACCTTAACATTTATTTATGCATTTTTTTTTATCTCTCCAGTTTAAAGGATATTTTTGGTTACTGTCCTATAGTACTGTCCTATAGTATACATTGGAGTGATTTCAAACCTGTTTATCCCAATAATTATAAAGGAGTGCCTCGGAAATACGTGTTTACATAAATTATGACCAAAACGGTTGGAATTAGACTAAAGTGAACTATCTAAACCCTTGGAGTCCTTTACCTCACTGAGCTGTAGTTATCAGCCTCTCAGTCTGACTGGAGAGGACTCTCCCTCCACATTATTGGAGAAACATCTTCTTCTTATATCCGTTAGAGCAGCTAGCACCAGATTCTAATAACAACAGCGCCGGTACCGGTGCACCCTCCCTCTCTCCCTCGCTCACTCGCATTTTGGCTGTGAGCTGCGGGCGCCAGATAAGCCAACATCCCCCAATTTCATCACTTACAGCCGCCCATCATACAGCGGCAAATGACAACGTGTTAACACTGGGTTGGAAAAGGGGTTGTTACATTTACTTAATTATGAATATATGTTACATCAATGCGCCCGAAAATTAGGATAAGCTTCCAACAGTCAAAAATGTTTTTTTCCCTCCCAGATCTGCGCGCCTAGGCGAATCATCTATTCAGCCGTGCTCTTTAGCCCGGCCCTGGAGTTCAATATCATAGGCTCATCTGCCCAACTCAAATATCATTTCCAAAAACCTCTCTCCATCTCTCTCATATGTTATGCTACAGCAAATGCACAGCCTTTTTTCAAATGACCAGGTGACTCTTTTGTTTGGCGAAGGTGCCGATGCGCATCCAAGTTGAATGTGCCAGCCCTGCTTAATAGGGGCTTAAATAGCCACGTTATATAAAAAAGAGACCGCCAGGTGCCCTGCCTGGATTATAAGAAAGAACACTTTTAAATAATAATTAGAGTGTAATATTATATCTGTACATGGACTACACTTGTAATGATTTTGAAAAAAATTTTTTTTTTTTAACCATTGATTTTTCTTGGATGTGCTACATGTATTTTACCAGTTATGTGAGATCATATATCATTTTCGTGATATTTGTGTGGCATATTTATGATTCAACATACACACATGGAACCTACCTCCTAAATTTAAAGAATGCCCTATACTTCTGGGTCTACCGACTAAAAACGTTGAGCGGGGCCTATTTTTCTTTATATGCATTTCTGCCCTCTCTGCTCCTAATAATTTAGTTTCATCTCTCTTGAATGCTATAACGAGACTTTCAATTGTATAATAAGTAGTAATAAATGTCCTCTCCAGACGTGAGCACCCTCCTCTGGGCCAGTGAGCGCGCAGTGGCTTGGCGTTTTCTGAGGCCTCTGGCTCCGTTCTGAGCCGCAGCTCCTGAGATCATCATATGGCGTACGAAGGGATGCGTGGTTCTTCGTCCAGCCCGGCGGCAACGTCCTCGGCAATTTCCCCCCTGCTCAGCGGTCTGACGGATACAAAAAGAACAAACTGCAGGTGTTCAGTACCAGACACTGCTCGGACAGGTACCAGGATCTGGTCGGAGTCCGTCGCTTACCAATGACGTCAACGCGTTGTGATGGCTTACGGTAATCGTACCGCTGATTGGTGTTAATAGGGGCGCTGGACTAGCGTTTACCGGCGCGGTCTGATCAAAGACGAATGAGTGCAGGTAGAGACAGAGCCAATATAATAGAAGAGTTACGACATCTCCGTTTCACCCCAATGGACCAGTTTTTTTTACAGCAATGGCGGATCCGTGGGAGCCTCTCAATTAATTCCCCGGAAGTTAGCTTGCCGCTGACTTTCCGGGAAACTATTGAGGCTATCTGCGGCTAGAGCGCAGTAGGAGTGCAGGCATAGACCGTTCGTATTGGACTTTTTAAAGGTAAGAAGACGTTTAAAATTTATTTCGGATATTATCGCANTTTTTTAAGAGCGGTTTAATGACTGCAGTTTTCAGGGCCTGTGGAAAAATACCTGAGTGAAGAGATTTGTTTACTATATGAAGTAGATCTGAGGCCATGCAACGAAAAACATCTTTGAAAAATCCTGTTGGAATAATATCAAGGCAGCAGGAGGAGGATTTCAGAAGTTGTATAATGTCATCTAATTTTTATCATTAATATGATGGAATTGTGTCATGGTGTAATTGATATTGGGTGGACACAGGGACAACACATTTGCTGTACCTGATACAGAGGCACTGACTGCTTTTCTAATTTTCTGAATTGTGTCAGTGAAGAAGGAGGCAAAGTTATTGCAGGCCCTGGTGGATAGAAATTCAGAGGCTACTGACACTGGGGGGTTAGTTAGTCTGTCGACGGTAGCAAACAAGGCACGTGCGTTGTTTTTGTTTTTGGTAATGATGGCAGAGAAGAAAGACTGTCGTGCGTTTTTCAATTCCAAATTATAAAGGCCAAGTCTCTCTCTCACCTGGAGATTTGTTTTTCGCCACCTACGTTCAGCTTTTCGACACTCTCTTTTTTCTGCTCTCACGCTCATGGCCTTTCTCCATGGAGATATTTTTCTTCCCAGTCACTTCCTTTACCTTAGTTGGAGCAATGCTATCTATAATCTTTTTAATTTTTGAATTAAAATGATCTACTAGCTCATTTACTGAGATGTTAGCAGGGGCGAGTGTTGAAGAAAAATTATGGGTAAACATTTCCCTAGTGTTTTCAGTTAAATATCGCTTTGTGGTTACCTCTTTTTGAACATTTGTTTGAACAGAAATAGAGCTCTCAAAGAAAACACAGGAATGATCAGAGAGTGCAACATCAGTCACCACAACCTTAGAGATGTTCAGACCCTTTGAGATAATTAGGTCCAGAGTGTGCCCCTTATTGTGCGTGGGCTCCGTCACATGCTGAGTCAGTCCATAGCTATCAAGAACACAAAACAGTTCTTTAGCCCCTCTGTCCTGGGGGTTGTCAACATGGATGTTAAAATGACCAACAATGACTAGACGGTCAAAGTCAATACACACTATAGACAGCAGTTCAGTAAAGTCATCAAAAAAGCTTGCACAGTATTTGGGTGATCTATAGATATTTAGGAACAGAGCTCGAGAGGAGCCTTTCAGCTGAAGGTCACCAGTCAGATTGTTTGTGGCAAGCTGTGGCTGACATGGAGTCACTGCTAAATTTGATAAACTCACACAAACGTTTGAGCGCTTCCAGTTTCTAAGCTGAGTCACCGCTCTCAATCTATTACCTATCAACACAGATATCGGGCAAAGCTACAGGCAGCCAGGGCCCCGGCTTTTCCTGGAAAGAGTTGAGAGTGCCCTACGCCCTTGAGCCTGGACCCAGCACATATCAGTAAGAATTTGCTGCGTTTTGTACACACACATTCTTATCAGGCTTTGGTGACCGCAGATGGTGTCTTGAAGGGGGGAAAGGTGGTTGATGTAGGTACGGTGATGAAAGCGATATCATTATTGTGGGAATAGAGGGAACAGATAAGAGATTTGGCAATAATTGATTATATATGCTTGGCAGCTGGTTTTTAAAAGTGTATCCATATGCCCATCAGTTTCAAGACCTTGACATTAAGCTATATCATTAACATACCCAATCCTTACCTATTCCTCTGTTAAAAAACAATATGACGCAATACATCATTAAAACTATAAACTTGTAAATATGTGAAGCGGTTATAATTGCATAACCCTTATAGAGGACCAAATCTGTTCTTCCTTCTCCCCAGGTCTCTCTGCCAATTTGAACTTTCTAAAATGTACTCCTCCTTTTCTCCAGTCTTAAAGTTTAGAGTGAGATCCCAGCAATGGTCAGACAGCTTTGGCTTACTTGGATGAACTCAATCAGGCTGTTGTAGATGAAGGCCCCCTTAGGCAGGAAGAAGCAGCTCCCTGGACTCAGGTCATGGAAGAAGAACAAGTCTTGCTCCTGAACAAATAGATAAGAGAAATCAAAAGAGCAACCACACAGGCAAAACTGGTTTCACTTTGAAATAATGCAACAGCTCAGCACATGTTTAATGTTACCAGGGTTTGACAATGTACTGCTCAGATCCCTGTAACACACCTGCTTTTATACTGGCAACAACAACAATAAACACAACCTGAACTGTCAATTCCCCAATAACAATGAAGTTCCACATCATTTTACAGTAATATAAATCACGTAACAGTTAGACAAAAGTTTTGTCACACAACTGCTCCACAGATTGTAAAGTCGCTCTAATTGAATGCTGCATTATCACTCAAATCTGAAAATGGGACACGGGGTTAATTTTTTATAAATGCTATTCTCAGCATTTCTTCTTAGATTGATATATAAAATAGCAATTCATGAAAATTACCAACTTTTACAAATTCAATCAGTAAGTGATACATTCTGAATAGTTGTAGGATAATGAGTACTTCATGTTCCCACTGTTCAGAAATGGCTTTGACTATCTTGTCTGTTGAAAAGGCGTAACATCAAACACATTCCTGGCTACAAAGGTAGTATTTTACATGTAATATACTGACATACAATTGCTTCTAAACTTGTAAGAGACTTCTCTACTTTTCTGACAGAGAGCTTCTTACCCGGCCCAGTTTGCGGTGATCTCTGTTCTTGGCTTCCTCTTGAAACTTCTCCCATTCTTTGAGCATTTTGGGGTCAGGGAACGAGATTCCGTAAATCCTCTGGAGGGTTTCCATGTCCGCCTTACCCTCCCAGTATGTAGAAGAATTCTAGCACACCATAACAAAAATATGTGAGCTTTCATTAGTCTTATGGGTCCACCAAATCCCTTGGGAATACAACATCAGGTAATGCTGCACTAGAAATGGGGACAAATGTATGGTGGCCCTGAGAGCTCAACTCTACACTAGGAAAAGAAAACACATTGAAATAGACACAACGCAAAGAAACACCAACATAACAGCATTTAGAACAAGCGCTCCAAATAGAGAAGATCACAACAGAAACTATTTCTAGCGGACAGTAAAAAGTAGTTAAAAACGGTATTTTTTTAAAGTTTATCTGTCTGTTGTGTTATGAGTTCGTTGCAGTGCTTATTTTCGAAGCTGTGCATCGATGGATTTGTGTGTTGTCAAATTGCTGAAGATATTTCTTTATTTGCAGTGTATTGAGCTAACGGCCATAGTAAAAATGTGTTTAATACAGTGATGCAAACACAGGTATGGTGAAAAAAGAGAGAACTATTCGAAGCAGAAAAAAAACAGCGTAATATACCATCTGACAATGACAGATTTTTCTTTTTGGATATTTTACAAATCACTCCCCTTTCAAACTCTATTCTTGTTATTTTTAACAACTTTTTTTTGTTACTGTCATATAGTATTTTATACCTGTTAATAATTGAGTCTCTAATGTCTCATTAATAACTATAATGATCATATCAAGGTGTGCCTTAACCTCACTGAGCTGAGGTTATTTGAGCCTCTCAGGAGAGAGCTCTCTTCCACCTGGTTGTAGAAAAGCTCTTTAAATTCGTTAGCATAGCTAGCTAACCAGATGCTAATAACAACAGATCGCCACTGTGCTTACAACTAAAGACACAGCCTCGCAAACACTGCGGCATGTGTACGGCTCCTTATGGGTACTGCAATATTAATGCACGGGCTGACCTGGGCTGAAGCCCAGGGGCCTACGGAGATCGGGGGCCTATCATATCATGGAGCCAATTAAAAAAACAAAAATAAAAACTTCAATTTTTTATTTTTTATTTCGGGTGTTTTAAAAAAAAAAGTTAAATAAACAAAGCTTGGCTTTCAGAATATGACAACTTTCATTTCCACCAAAACAACCGATAAAACTACATTTTGAAGCTGTAAAAGGGAAGACAACAGCTCTCCCTCGCCACTGCTGTTCCACAGCGCGCCCCCCTCCCTCCACTGAAATTATTAATGTAAGACGTATAGTAATATAGATAACACAGCAAGGTCCGTTACAGTTTGTCTTCATCTGCATTTAAAGAAAACGAAAAGTCCTTGGCTTTCAGCGAATATTTAACTTGTTTCCCAAAGAAATTCAGATGATAAATACACTTTGAGTTGTAACGGCATAATGTACAAGCTGAGAACGGATTAACTTGCGTCACTGCATGGTATGAACAACACGTGTTTGTGTCCCCGGGACAACAAACACAATACACACAAACGCACGTAGACACAAACACCGGACGTCTGTAACTTGAGAATATGTTCAAATGTACTTATTCAAATGGCGGAGTGATGGAGTGAAGAACAAACGGGTTTGAGTTTGTTGTCGCTCGGAAAAGAAAATTGTTGAAGCAAAACAGATGTTTCGAAACAAGCAGCTGTTACAAACCAAATGTCGAAGCGTACAGGTTATATTAAAGAACCTATAGACCCGGATGAGAAGACAAGACAGATGAGTTCATGTACCGAGCGGTAGCGTGTTTCCTCCACCGATTTGGTTGCGGAGACACGTAGGCCGTTGTTAGATCGAAGTATCGAGAGGGATAGACCGCCAGGGTGGGAAAGTTATCTGTTGAAGAGATGAAGAGGACGACGAGTCTGCTCGTGGGAAGAGAGTTGGAGCCATCGGCAAACCGGAACAATACATGAGGGGCACCGATTCGGCATCATATGTGAGGAGAGAACCAGGCGCAGTGTATCGAGGAGAGAGCAGAGTGCGATCAACAAGGCCTGCCGAGCATATAAATTGTCTTTGATTTGTTGTTGAAATAGGCCTACAAAAACTATCTGCCCGAGGCCCTGTATGCAGCTAAAGGCGTGCTTGCTTAGGTTTACTGGCCTATTTGAAGAGCTTGGTAGCGGCGTCCGAGATGCACTCAGTTACTCCTTCAGAGCGAGGAGGACATGGAAACCCCACGTGAAGACCTAGGTGAAAGACACGTTACGGCTCGTTGTTGTGTTCAATGAACTGTCTTGGCCAGGAGAAACAAGTAGGCACTCGCTTGTAATTATTTTGCGTTCTAGATTTCTTCTTCTTTTTTGAAGTGATAAGTTGTCCCCCCCCTTCGGGTCTCCACGAATTACACGAGTCTCCGAAATCGCGTTAAAAAGCGTGAGGAGCCGAAAAGCGACTAATTTGCCATCATGTTAATAGATTAAGGCAAAAACAGGTTATGACCAGGTAGGTTACACGCTACAAGAATAGTCGCTTGGTGTCGTGGTGTACTATAAACAAGAATTAAAAACACAGGTAGGAACTAGGGGAAAGATATATCAGTCAACTGTAACATTTACATTGCAATGGAGTGAAATGAAATAATGAATAAAGAATACAGCTGTAATACGAATCCAACCGATTATTACCGGTCACATTAATAGCAACCATGCAGAGCAGACTAAGACTGGAACCAGGCTGTCCTGGTTATTTTTGCAGATAAAAGAAACATACAAAAACTGAGGCTGGACAGAAGACTCGTCTAACAAAAATAAAAACGGACCTGGCCGATCGTGTCAGGGCCTTGATTTTCCCTGTATGCTCACATGGTAGACCCGCGACACAAGTCCATCAGGGAACGTACACCTGAAATGCACGAATGTTTAAGATAAGTTAATGCGTTAAGGGGGTATTATAATAATACTCAAAAGATAATAAAACTGTGCTTTTATGCTACAAATGTTTGCTGCCGTCTTCAGAGGAGTCAACCTGTTTTCAAAATGTGCCTGAGAACCGGAAGTGGTTTTTCAGTTTAATAAAATAGAAAAGCCCAGTTGGCCCCGCAACCATCTGTGTATGCTAACATCCTCAACGTAAATTTTGGAGAGGGAGGTTGTGAGGCGTCTCCTCTCCGCAGCCGGTTGCGTAGTTTTGTCGCACAATCCGTTGTACAGACCGACGTTAACAGCCCGACCTTTTCTGGCACACGGCGGACGACTCTGTCGTCGGTGATCTAGACGCCTTCTGGAAAACGAAAGAGGGGCTTCCAAAGTAGGTACGTGGTACGCAAATGTGCTTTGTGAACCCACAAGTGACCGTTACGCCACCTTCGGATGTTGGGGCGCATGCGTACCAGTTATGTTGCACCCCTATTTATAACGCAACGACCAGATGTGTTCATCCCCTTATGATAACCAGTCCTCACGTTTTCAAGGAAACATGAGAAACTACAAGATTACAGGCACTTTCCCCGCTTTTACTGTAAAAGTGGTTTGAAGCCGTATCTGTGAGTTTCTCCATGTTTCCTGTGAAAAGGTCGAGTCCGACTGGAAGAGTATCATGAAGGTGTGACCCCGCTTTTTTCCTGTTTGCGTGATAAGGAGGGGTGGACACATTTACTGTTGTACCGGCATCGCCTGCCCCCCCCCCGGCACAATCTGATTTGCGTACCGTCACTTGTGTTCTCCACGACAGTGAAGCGTACCAGTGTCCTACTAGTGAGTTTCCAGAGGCGGTTAGATCAACCGGGACAGCGCGAGAAGTCGATCTCCGATGTGCACATGCACACTGCTTTAACGTCGATCTGTACAAAGGCAATAGTGCAGCAAAACTACCCAACGTCTTGCGGAGGGAGACTCCTCACCCCCCCCCCCCCCCCTTACGTTGAGGATTTGAGGCACCGAGGTTGCGGGCTTTCTGGGGCTTTTTCTATACACGTACAACTGAAACCTCACATCTGGTGGTCGGGTTGCTAGGAAAACAATTATGAACCACAGGGTGATTCCTAGAAAAGCAGGCAAATTTGTAGAGTTCAAATGTAAGCACATTTTTCTTATTAAGCATTGAGTAATTGGAATGATAATAGTGAACGCATTAACTGATTTTAACATACTGCTGTAAGTACAAAGATAAGACCAACCCATGTATTTGGGCTGAATATTTGTACTCATGTGAGAACCATTTTCAGAGAGCAGAACTCAAAGACCCTTGAAGATCCTCTTGTCTTGGTTTTTAATTTTTTGTAATAGACGATTCATCACAATGTACCAGTCGACCGGTCAGCCTTGTAAGATATCTATATGAGCAAAACTTGTCTTAAAACAAAAAATATAAACCACTGTCTTTTTGTGTTGGAATCTTGTCAGGGGGCTATTTATGATGTTTTTTTTTATCCCCTAGTAATATGGTTCTCACAATGAAGGCCCTGCGACACAAGTTCCAATACTCAGGGGACCACAAACCCTTTGTAAAATTTGCAAGAAATGGTTTACATAAAACAAAATAGTTTTTTTTTTAAATTTTTAAAATGCGTTTTAAGGGCTATTATACATGAAATTACTTCAAAAAAATAAGAAAACTGTGGCTAATATATTTTTTTTTTATTTGGGGGCCATTTAAACAAAATTTAAAATTTGCCTTTGGGCGCTTCTTAATTTTTTTCCAAAAAGAAGAAATCATACCTTGTTGTTTTTCAAAAATAATTTGTATACCTGAAAGACATCCGGTGATTGCTGATAGGCGTTTTTCCTTGTCAGTTTCGTTCAATAAATTAGAAAAAAAGGCCAAAAAGCCCCCGGCAACTCATATCGGTGGGGCCCCCTCAACAATCCTTGCAACGTAAAATTGGGGGGGGTGTGGGGTGGGTGTGGAAGGAAGTCTCTCACTTCCCTCCGCCAAAAAGCCGGTTGGCGTTGAAGTTTTTTTTGGGCCAACACATTTTTCCCGTTGTACAGACCCGAAGTTTACAGCCTATAAGACCTGGTCCTGTCGCCACACACGGAGAACCGACTCCACCCTTTGTCCGTTCCCGGTGATCCTTTAAAACCCGCCTTCTATTGGAGAAACTGAGCTTGCATCGAACGTAGGGGCTTACGCTTTTATAATGTACGCAAAATGTGCTTTTTTGTGTAGCACCAGAGTTGGCGGTAACCGCCTGCCTTAACCTGCCATCAGGGCCTGGGCTGATAGTTTTTGTAGGCCCCCTATTTAAGACATTCCAAATGCAAAGTCATTATAGCCGTCGGCAGGCTCTGTGATCGCAGCTTCTCCACTTCCTGCCGTACACGAGCGGCCTGGTCCTTCTCCCTCGCATATGAGTGACGGTTATCGGGCCTCCCGCATGTATTTGTCCGGTTGGCCGTTGGCGCTCCCCTCCACGTTGCAAGTCCTCGTCGTCCTTCTCCATCTCTTCCAACAGATAATGTCCCTCCTGTCGGTTTTTCCGTCTCCGCTACGTCCATGTCGCTATCAGATACCAGACAGGCCTACTTGTCTCCGAGGCCCCGCGCGCACGCTACCCGCTGCGTGGTACAGAACGTCATGTCTTCTCTCCTCTATCCCTGGCCTACAGGTTTAAATAGATAAACCTGTAAGCTGTCGGGCATTTTTTGTAACGTGTGCTGCTGTTTCGGAACTCCTTTTCCCTCAACAATCCTTTCCGAGCGCCACTCTCAACTTTTTCTTCACTCAATCATCGCAATTTGAATAAGTCACAGGTGAAAATTTCTCATTCTGATCGTGTGTGTGTTGTGTATTTATTTGCCGTTTGTGTGTATGTGTTTGTTTCCCGGGGAAAACACCGGTGTCTGTTATGCCTGGCTGTTGACCGTCACATTACTCCGTTCGTCCGCTTTGTAATTATATGCCGTTTACAAAACTTCAAAGTTGATATTTCGATCATCTGATATTGCCAAACAGAAGTTTAATATTCCTGAAAGGCGAGAGGAACTTTGGTTTCTTGTGAGGATTCAGGATGCGGACAGAGTTGTGATATATACTTGTGGACTGCTGTGTTTCTATGATGTTTATACGGTTCTTTTATCATTTAATTAATTTCAGTGTGTGAGGGCAGCGGCGGGGTGCGGCGCTGTGACAGGCAAGCTGTGAGGCGAGTGGAGAGCTGTGGGTTCTTCCCTTTATATATGTTCAAATCTATCTAGGTTATTTTCGGTTGATTTTGAAATGAAAGTTTCATTTTCTGAAACCAAGATTTGTTATTAACTTTTTGTTTTATAATAACACTGCCGAAACTAAAAAAATAAAAAAATTGAATTTTTATTTTTGTTTTTTTTTTATTGGGCTCATTGATAGGCGCCGATCTCCGAGGGCCCCCTGGCTTCAGCCCAGGTGCTAGCCCGTGCATTAAGGCGCCTTTGCCCATTATTTGTAGGAGCCGTTACACATTGCCGCAGCTGTTTTGCGAGCTGTGCTTTAGTTGTAACGCACTAAGTGGGCGACTCTGGTGGGTGATTAGGCATCTGGGTTAGGGCTAGCTTTATGCTAACGTAATTTAAGAGCTTTTCTACGAACCAGGTGGGAAGTAGAGCTCTTCTCCTGGAGTCTCAAATAACTCAGCTCAGTGAGTTAAGGCTTAACCTGATTATTGATCTTATTCGTTATTAATTGACATTTAGAGACTCAA